CCCCAAAACCCCAAAACCCCAAAACCCCAAAACCCCAAAACCCCATTAGGCTTATAATAATTTGAAAATGGAATTGGATGCAACTTACAAAGTAAAACTAAACTGCTACGATCTCTCAATGGGGCTTGCCAAATCTCTTTCAATGTCCCTTATTGGCAAACAAATTGATGGAATTTATCATACAGGCATCTGTGTCTATGGTAAAGAGTACTTTTATGGTAATGGAATTAATTGAGAAAATGAAGGCGCCACACCATTCGGAACTCCCACTGAAACCATAGAATTAGGAGAGACTGAACTCCCTCAAGAAATGTTTCATGATTTCCTCCAAGATATCAGTGAGAGATTTACTTTTCTCACCTACAATATTGCTACGAATAATTGTAACCATTTTACCAATGAGTGTTCTACTTTTTTGGTCGACAAAACTATTCCAGATTTTGCACTTAAACAAGCAGAGGAATTCTTCGAAACCCCTCTCGGTAAGTTGAACTTTAAAAGACCCTTTATTAACTTTTAATAGGTCAGATGGTGAAACCAATGGTAATGGCTCAGCAAAATGCCTTGATCCAAGGAGCATCTAGTATGTTTGACACTGGTTCAGCTGAGAATGAGAACAAAACATTGAATGTAAATCCTGAAGCTGTATTAAACACTTTCTCTCAACTCCAAGGGGAGACACCTGTTGCAGCTGATCTTTCAGATTCGATCACAGCTATCTCAGATATTTCTTTGCTTCAAGAGAGTATAATCACTACTCCTTGCTTAGTTCTTTACTTATGGTCTTCAGTGAACGAAGAGTGCAAAGATTCTAACACAAAGATAGGTGAAATTGCTGAAAAATTCAGCAATGATGGTACGTTTTGTCCTAAATGATTCTTTGTAGAGACCTCTCAGGTAACTTTCTTCAGTGTAAACACCCAACAAGTCGTGGAAGTGGCGTATAATTTCAACGTCAAGACTATCCCTTGAGCTTATGTGTACCAGAACGGTGAAGTTGTGTTAACACAAGAAAAATTTGATCCTGAAGAGTTGGAGCAAAAACTTACAGAACTCAAGAAAGAGTAACTTTGTTTGATATTAGTATTTCAATCAAGTTTCAATGTTTAATCACAATATTGGGGTTTTGGGGTTTTGGGGTTTTGGGGTTTTGGGG